AGGTTCCAACATCTCGGAATTATTCTCAGGAGAACTGAAAGCAGCTCGGTAGGGACTGAGGTAGAGCTAGGCTCTTATTAATGGAGCAAATTTTTTACGATGTTAAACTTCTTTGTTGTAGACTAGTCGCTTATTGGATTCGGCCTCTACCGTCTCCGAATTCGATAGGCGGATAATTGAGGCAGATGCTTATCTCCAGATCCTTATAGATCAGCATCAGGTGGGGTTTTGCTTTCAAGTTTTGCTTTTTTTCTTGTACAACTATATCTACGTACTTTTCTTCGCTCAGGCGATCGACCAACAACTGAGTCACCACGAGCAACTGCTTAGCCATTCCTGTGAATCCATCAAAACGCGGCTTCAGGTAGGTTGGGTTCTGCTAAGCATTGTTAATTTTCAGCTAGCGGAAGGAATTGCGTGCCTTTGGATAGCTAACATCCTGTGGGTTTTCCCACCTTAAGCTGGTACTGGGGCGGCTGAGTGGGCATAAATTAAATGCCCGTCTCATTTGAATAGTAGTATGCCCAAGGTTAACCAAAACATTTTGGAAAATTTCACTATTGTAGGACTGAATCAATAGACCGTAAGGTGAACACGACAAATGGTGGCTTAATTTCTATTTTCTGGATAGAGTTCAAGTGGCTAGCATAAACCGTGTGCAAGCAGTGGTTAGGTTGGCAAACTTGCTCAGGTCCGTTTCATTTTTCATTTTAGCATCTTATTGAACTGGTAAAAAAAACCATCGTGTGTCTTCAGTTTGCTAAGGTGCGTTTTAATTCATTCATTCTCTCTTTTCGAATATTTCAAAGAAACATAAAAAAAACCTTAAATTGTATCTCTAAGGTGGTTCGCCTTATCTTGGGCGCTGTAAGGGGGGGGGGGTAGAAAAGAAATCCTCCCTTAATGCCCTTTTTTACGTCACTTGAGGGTGCTTCAATGAAATATCTTCAAAGTTATCGAGTTCATTTTAAAGCGTCTAGCTCTTATTGGAGTCAGATATCAGTTGTGAATAAACATGGAGCTGATTGCCTTCGTTGCTCTGTGAACAAGCTTAAACTCTACTCGAATCTTTGCGATTACTTTC